ATATTATATTGTAACAAAATATTGAACAGATGTGACCAGTAGGGAAACGAAGTTTCTTGTGGTGGAGACAACAATCAGCAGTCTACTGAAAGAGAGAATATCCCATTTCATTTATCACTTTAATTAATTTAATTAACCAAACTTTAGTGTTCTTCGGATCATTAAAAAAAATCAAACCAAGTCTACTTCAGCTTGATTTCTCCTTTTCCACTTTATCCCTATTGTTTTTTCAAAGATTCACGCGCATTCGACACTGCCTCACCAAGAAAGTCAGGAATTCTTGCACTTTATGATCATCTTCCAATTTGCACCAACTAAAATTGAGATCCTCAGTTTGTCCTCCATTGTTGGATGTTTCTGTAAAGGACTCTGAAAAGACCTTAAATTTATTTGCTGTTTGTCTCCCTGGTTTCACCTACTCCATGACTTGTAATCCATTAGGAAGATCAAAAGTAATTAAACAAACAAATTAAATAGAGGAAATATAATTTAATAATTTTCAACAAAGCAGCACGAACAAACTGAATATAAAATTGTTCCTACTAACCACCGTGCACCTATGCAAATATTACATACTTTATCATTCATTCATGGCTCTACATTGCACAACACAACACTAATTTCATTATTTTTTCCAAAATCTTCTAGTTGCAACATCATCAGGAAAATCTCCGAGTCGTAGGGAGTATTGTTATTTTTTAAAATTAATATCAATTCTATTGAGAGATTCTCTCTAATGAAATCAGTTTCTTAAAAAAAAATTAGTTATTAAAAATAAAAAAATTCAAAAAAAAATCATTTAAACTTTTTTTTAAAAAATAATTGCAAAGTATTTAAAAACAGGAGCTATTACACTTCTAAATATTTACTTAGTTTCTCTTTCATTTATCTCAGCAAGCAACCAATGAAGTCATCTTTAAGAAAACTCGAAAAATAACTTTCCCTTCCAAAAAGCCAAAACCCCTTTCAAGCACATTTATAGAAATCAGTTTGCATCTGAGATGAAAAAAGAACTTTTTTTTTTTATATTCACATCTCTCCCGACTAGTATAGTTAAACCCATCAAATCTCTATTAATATGTTTTTTAAACTATTTTTCACCTAAAAATAAACATTAAATTAGTAGTTTTTTAGGTATATTTTTTTATTTGATGTGCCCATGTAAAAAAAAATATTATTTTCATATGTTTTTCATTAAAAATTACTTTTAGGTGTTTTTTCCTTAATATTATATATTTTTTCATTTTTGTTGAAGATAATTTTCACTAAAAAATAATTTTCTTTTACACTTGTCATATTAAAAATATGTCATGTGCTTGCAACTAATTATGATTTGATAACTATTTAACTCAAGAGACATAATAAGCCAAAAAAAAAATCATTAAGGAATATAACAAATCAGAAAAAATATACAGAATATAAATATCAAAGCATAATATACGATCAATTTTGAGTTTAACTTGTATTAAAAATAGTAATTTTAGTCTATAACAATTAATTTAGTTTAGTGAGGTTGAGTTTTAACTTGATTTGACTAACGTCAAATTATATATGGTAAAATCAAATCTGGTTTTGTTAGGATTGGGATGGAATGAGAGTGATTTCCATCATCGACTTGGACCCGATTCAGATTTTTTTATTAATGCATGTATATCATTTCATGTGTAGATGATCATTTTGATTCTATTTATGTTTTATTATCGTATGATGTAATGATTTGTAAATTTATATGTTTAATTTTCATGCTTTAATTGTTGTGGACGTGATTTTTAATTATGATTTTTTTTATTTAATAAAATGAAGAAATGGGTTGTATCGGTAATTAATAATAATAAGAAGAAGAAAAAACTAATAGCCATTGGCATTTCATTGTGTATCACTAGGAATTTTGCAACAACAAAATGAAGTTTTTGCTCTTTCAAAAAAAATAAAAATAATAACAAAGCTTATTATAAGGATAAAGTTGTTTTTTCTTATAGATTCATTAGACATTATCAAACTAATTAGTGACAAATGTAAATATTTTTTAGCATATTAAAATGATATTATTACTCTTAAAAGTAAAAAAAAACCTTTCTTTGAGGGGCTTTATTATCTTTTCAATATCCTTCATATATTAAAATTTCATTAATACCTAAATAGTAAAAAATTATTAAACTTGAAAAAAGGGTGGTTTTTTCTTTTTTCATTTTTTTAGTATAATGAAATAACACTATTAATCTTAAAATAAAATAAAAATCTAAGGTTGATGTACAAGGTTTTTTTTTCTTGATGATTTTTTCATTATATTCAAGTTTAATTATGAATTGTTTAATAATTTAACAAATATAAATATTATTAAAAAAATTATTGATATGTGTATTGCCCCCTTTCCCTTTAGATGATGCTTATAGGGGTTGTTTGGTTACCAAATATAGCATTTCAAGATTGAAACCTCGTGGTGGCCCCTCCAGCATCTAGTAGTGGGTGCAGCCATCATGTCTATGGTCTGGTCTCGTGGCATTGTTTCTTTACTGAGGAATGGGTTTTTTGATTAAATTTAGATTTAGAATTTTACAGGTTAAAAATTTAAAAAATTAATTTAAATTTGAGAAATTTACTTAAATTTTTTTGGTTTTTTTATTTTTTTAAATTTATGCTTTTTTAAATTTTATTATTCAATATTTATTTAATTGGAGATTAGACCTTGTTGTTTTTCTTTTTATTGAATTTTTTTATTAATTTTGAAAAAAAATTGAATTATTTTATTTTTTAATATTAAATTATTTGATAATTAAATAATTGATACGTGTGCTGTCCCCTCTCGATGCTTACAGGGGTTGTTTGGTTACCAAATATAGCATTTCAAGATTGAAACCTCGTGGTGGCCCCTCCAACATCTAGCAGCAGGGGTAGCCAGCTTGTCTATGGTTTGGTCTCGCGGCATTGTTTCTTAATCGAGGGATGAGCTTCTTGATTAAACTTAGATTTTGAATTTTATGAGTTAAAAATTTAAAAAATTAATTTAGGTTTAAGAAATTTATGTGAATTTTTTTAGTTTTTTAATTTTTTTTAAACTTGTATTTTTTAAATTTTATTATTTAATATTTATTTAATTAAAAATTAGACCTTGTCATTTTTTAATTTTTTTATTGAATTTTTCATTAATTTTAAAAATAAAATTAGTTATCTTACCCTTTAATATTAAGTTGTTTGATAATTAAAATTTAAAATTTTATTTAATTTATTTTTGATAGAATTATCCCAATATCACAACTAGATCAAAGGTATTTTATGCTAACCCGGGTAGAATTGGGTTATGGTTTTTTGACCTTTTTTGGATTATTTTTTATTTGATTTTATCTTTTAATATTTTATTTATCGTAAATCAAACTTTAAATCTTTTTTATTTTACTTTCTATGAGATTATTGTATTATTATTTAATTTTTTTTAATATTAATTTTTTAAAAAAATTATTTCAAATTTATTGTTTTTCAATTGATTTTCTTGCTTTTATTTCCTAGTTTTTTTTATGGAGTTTTTCTAATTTTACACTCATGTTTGTGGGGCTAACAGATAAACCTAATCTGACTTATTATTTTTTTTTTTTAAATAATTATTTTTTTTAGTTTCACCCAATATTTGGTTGCAGGGCTTGGTTGGGTTTTTTTTTTAACTATTTAATTATTATTATTTATTTACTTTGTTTTTTATTGTTGTATTTTTTAATTATAATATTAAATTAATCAAAATTATAGATATAATTTTAATCTAGTAGAGTTTATTAAATTTAATTGAGATGGTGTCTGGAGTCTCGTTTTTGTTTTACTTTTTTTTTATAAAAATATTTATACCATCCTAGCATATTTTTTATATTGTAAAAAATTAAATCGATCTGTAATATAGCGTGGAATGAGATAAATGGTCATGAGGTGTTGAAAGTCAGGTATGGATAAACTAAGAAGTGGGCCCAAATTAACCAATTATAATCAATATTCATGACTCCGTTTTTTAATTTACGCAGCCGTGGTAAACGGGTCAAACCATATTGTTTTTCAATTTATTTTGTACATGACAATTGAATATTAATAAATATATTTTTCTTTGTAGAAAAAGTTTTTTAAAAAACCAAAGTAAAATAGTAAAAGATGACGTGAAACACCAATATTTGTCCCTGTTTAGTTATGTTTTTCAAAGTATTTTTTAAAAAATATAAATTTTATTTATTTATTTTAAATTATTATATTTTTAATTTTTTTAAATTATTTTAATATACCAATATAAAAAATAATTAAAAAAAAAATTAAAAAAATATTAATATATATTTTAATAAAAAATTATTTAAAAAACAACCATTACTATACTACCAAACAATCAATAATTAACTGTTAACATGTCACTTGCTAAATTATATTATGAAAACTAATAATATTATTACATGGCAATCAATTTTATCTAATTTTTTAAATTTGTTGATTTCTTAATCAAGAATATATATATATATATATATATATATATATATAAAATTTATTTTCTGCGTGCATTATCTATAAATTATAATAATTATAAAAGACGAGCGGAAGTGAAGGTCCCTGTCTAGTTTGTTTTTTTATTCCAAGTACAAAGCCGTGAAATACCATAATTTTCTCTCTCGCCACACTCAAAATATTCGTGAATGAAACGCCATCAACTCAATTTAATTTAGTCTGGTTTGCAAGCAAATTTTATTTTATTTTATTCTATTTTGATTAATTATAAAATGACATTAATTTCTTCACCAAATAAAATGATACGGACGGGTTGTTCGATTAGCAGCAACACTTCATTAGTTTGATTAGCCAAAACACACTTAAACCAGTTTTAATAGATTGACTCAACAATAAAGATATATGTTTTATTTTCCTATATTATTTTATAGATGTGAATTTATTTTTTCCGTAGGCAAAAAGAAATGATTTTTTTTTTAAAAGTAGAATATACGCAGATCCTGCCATCCCGGACCTTCCCTTGAAATCTCCCTCTCCCTCTCCTTCTCCCTCTTCCCCTCTCTCTTTCAAGTCTCCCTCACTCAATCTCGTCACTTTCCAATTTCCCACTCAAAAAGGCAAACAAACAAACGTACAGAACACATCCATTTGACCACTAACTCAACCTGCATGAAACGGTCCACGTGCCTCGTTGCTCGAATCCCTCTCTTCCTCTCCTTCCTTCCTTAAAACCTAAGTCATAATAAAGAAAACACAACAAGATCAAGACCAAAACCAAAACGACCAGTCCCATTACCGATTGCACAAAACAAAACACAGAGAAATAAAATAATAAGATTCACCCTCTTACAAACGAAGCCCTGAATTTGGCTAAGCTCTTTTCAAGTTCTGCTGCTGCACCGGCTCAGCTGCTGTTATATGTGTCATCTTTTCTTATTCTTATCTATCCTCAGTAGCCACCGTTCAAATCTGGTAACTTGGTCTCTCTCTTTCTCTTTGTTTGACTCTGTCTTTGGGTTATTTATGTCTGTCCCTGTCTTTGCAACATCTTGTGAGGGTTTATGAGAGTAGTGAATGTGTAGAGGAAAACCCATTTGGGAAACCCTAAGTTTGTGAATAAAGATTGATTTTTTATCTCTTCAATTTTAAGTTTATTTATGGCTTTTGATCAGACCCCTACACCAAAAGATACAAGGCCATTAAACATAGCTAGAACCATACCTGAAGAGCCCCGCATTGTGGCTGCTATTGCTAGTGCTACTAGTAGTTCTGTCACTACACCAGTAACAGCTGGTAGAAAACATGAGTTTTTTGCCAGCCCAGAAGGTTCTATTCCTGTTATTTATCCGGCATCGGTGTCTGATGCTGGTTTTGTAGGTTTAGGATATGGGAATGCTTATTCCGGGGCTGCCCCGTGGGCCCCACTCATGCCGGTTCCGGTGTCAGTTGGGAGTATGAACGTGGGTGTGAATGGTTCCGGTGTTCCGTTTGGTTATAATCCTAATTTGGGGAACAGGATAGTTGGTAATGCTGTTGATCATGCCGGAAATGATATGGTGTTGGGATCCGGTTCTTCACCCAATTTTGGGAATCGGGTTGATGTTAATGGGAGCATTGAGGCAGTAAATACGGGGCTGGGTTGTAATCCCAATTTGGGTAGTCACAGTAGTGGTGGGGCTGACCATGGGAGTGAAGATGGTGGGGATGATTCAGTGTCGGGGAAGAAAGTGAAGTTTTTGTGTAGTTTTGGGGGGAAGATTTTGCCAAGACCAAGTGATGGTACGTTGAGATATGCTGGAGGGCAAACAAGGATTATTAGCGTGAGGAGAGATGTGAGCATTAATGAGCTGCAGCGGAAGATGATGGATACATACCAGCAGCCTGTTGTTATTAAATACCAGCTTCCTGATGAGGACCTTGACGCATTGGTGTCTGTTACATGTGCTGATGATCTTGATAATATGATGGAGGAATATGAGAAGTTGCTTGAGAGGTCTTCAGATGGGTCAGCTAAGTTAAGGGTGTTTTTGTTTTCGGATTCACAGCTTGATGCTTCTGGTTCAGTCCAATTTGGAGATTTACATGATAGTGGGCAGAAATATTTTGATGCAGTAAATGGGGTTGTGGATGGTGGTGGTGGTCGTATCACTAGGAAGGGGAGTATGGCGAGTGTAACTTCAACGCAAAACTCTGATTTTAGTGGGACCGAGGCTGTTGAGAGCTCAGGTCAGGCTGTGGAGAGCTCAGGTCCTGGTCAAGGGGATGTGACTTGGCCACCATCTACCAGCGTGTTACCCCCTGGGGATAATTTGGCTGCTTCTCATGATTCCACTCCAAAACTAGTCTTTGCAGATGCCAACCCCCCACCTTATGCAGGTGTATCTGCAGTTCCATCGGGGATTCCATTGGCTAAGTCTGGTCCTCCTCAGACTTCATGTTCTCAGCCTGAGGTTGAATTTGAGAGGTCCGTTCCTATTACTGCGCAGCCGCAGCATAGGGTCCATGATTTCCAGCAAGTTGGGTCAGGCATTCTGCCACATGCACCTCAATTGCGGGCTTATGTAGATCCTCGTCAAGAAAATATGAATCAGGCAGATTATAGGCATGTTCCTCCCCTCATGGGTTTTCCAAATAATCATGTGCTTGGAACTCCCGGGCCTTTATTCACCCAACAGCATTTTCATGAGAGTAATGCAGGTTCTACTTCACTTCAATATGTTCCTGCAATGCATATGACTATGACACCCCCAGGTTCTCATATGGCTATAAGGCCAAATGTGGTTCAACCATTGGTTCAACCCCAACAAACTCGCTTGGAGCACTATCCTGAAGAAAATGCATTTGGAACAAGGATTGTTCAGGTTCCTGTTGACTCAAGCTACAATGCATATCGGGCTCAACTTCCTCCTGCAGTTGTTGGAGGCTATGGCTGGACACAAGTTCCTCAGCCAGAGCCTGTTGTCTACTCTGACGGGTCAGTGTCTCATCAACAGATACTTTTCCCTGAGAAAACTCCAAGAATGGAGGACTGTTATATGTGTCAGAAATCCCTGCCACATGCACATTCAGATCCTTTGGTACCGGGCACAAGAGAATCTGGAATGAGCTATTCAAACTCACTTAATCATAGTCTTCGTTTAGAAGATACTATGAAAGCCCCCCCTATGAACAGGGTTATGATAACTGGTGCCTTGGGAGAACGCTTTATGGAACAAGGTGCTGGTGCCCAACCTGCAGTTCATAGTCATATCGGAACACCGCAGTCGGAAGCAATTGTGTCCTCTCAGAATCTTGAGGCACCTTATGAAAATGAGAGAACTTTCTTGAAAACTGACAATTCTGGTCAACCTAAGATTTCAACTCCCTATGGCATGATAGGTTTACCAGGTAATGTACAGTCTCCTTATGGTATGTTCACAGGTGGAATTCCCGAGTCTTGCGTGGAAGATTGTATCCAGCAGCATTCAGTGTCAATGCAACCACAGGTTTTACTGAGTAAACCTGCTAACAGTGATGCCCCTCATGCTGTTGCTGTACCTATTCAAGCTTCTGAACACCTAGTTCAAGAATCTCCAAAAGAATACTATGGCAAGCTTCCTGGTGTTGTTTCCCAAGAAGATGCTGTAGACTCTTACTTATCTTGTCAGCAGCTGAGACCAGTTGATGGGATGATGGAAGCTCTCCGTATACACCCCCCTGAAATTAATGTTAACAATTATCAGAAAAAGTCACCTGTTGATAAATTTAAAAAGGAAGAAATCTTGGATCATAAAACCCAGAAAATTGCTGGGAGGGAGGTGCTTCTAGATAATACTTTTAACAAACCTCAGGTGGTTCTTGAATCAAATCATATTAAGCAGTTTGAAATGTTGCCTGCTTCTACAGAGGTTTCTTACTTGCATATTCCTCAACCAATGGAGTTACATGAGGTTGCACAACCGCCTATTTTGGGTAATAAACACCCGCAACCCAAGATTGGAGATCCTGCCTTGGATTCTGCTGAAGTTAGTTATGGAATCCCTGCATTCTCTGGTGTTGAGCCGGCCTATGTAAATGACAGAATCCCACCTTTTGCTGAATGGAAGAATGATTCACAGCTGCATTCAAAGGTTGTCCCCAGCGACGTGGAAGCCTTATCATCAACTGGTAATATGCCATCTTCCCTATCGCCATCTGGTGGAGTTGGCAATGCTCAGGACTTTTCAAACTCACTCTTCAGCAGCCAGGATCCTTGGAAATCAAGGCATGATAATCAGTTTCCTCCACCCAGACCCAACAAGATTGCAACAAAAAAAGAGGCATTTACTACTAGGGACCCTTTCATTGAGAACCATTCTGGTGAGGTGGACTTAATCACAGGTGTGCTGCTGGAGGATGGAGTTTCCAAGCCACCGGGCAATTCAAACAAGGATTTAGAACGTGCTCAATCATCCAAAGGTCAGAAGCTTCTTATTTTGTGTTCTTACACATGCTTACAACTGGATAACTCCAATAATTATTTGTTATGTTTGTGTTTATCTGGATAAAATCAAATATTCTCTTACGTTGAGAATGTAGTTTCTTAGCATTTTTTGTTTCGTGGTTGAAGGTTCAGCAGAGGAACTCATCAGGCAAGAACTCAAGGCTGTAGCTGAGGGTGTAGCTGCTTCTGTTTTCCAGTCAGATACTTCTAATCCAGAACAAAACGTGTCAGAAAGAAATGAACCTGCTTATGAACCAAATCAAGAAAAAGAAGATTCAAATGAAAGTGTAGAAATGCAGCACAAAGCTAAACTTGAGGTGCTTAATCCATTCTGTTTTCGTTGCATTTGTGTGGGAGCACATTCATGTTTATCAATTGGCATTTCTTTTTTCATGTTGCCGACTATGGTGCATTTATTGTTCCTTTATCCCCATATTTTCTTACTTTATTTACTCAGGACATGAAGAACAAACTGCCTGATAAGGTGAATTTTGGTTTTCCTGTATCGGAAGGCCGTGGTCGCTTGCAGGTTGAAAGAGTTGACTATTTTCTTCTTCCTGTAATTATATGTGTGTTTGTCAATTTTAAGCACGCTTCTGGTTGTCTGGCAGATTATAAAGAACAGTGACCTTGAAGAGCTGCAGGAATTGGGTTCTGGCACCTTTGGCACTGTTTATCATGGGAAGTGGAGGGGTACTGATGTAGCAATCAAACGAATCAATGATAGGTGTTTCGCTGGGAAACCTTCTGAACAAGAACGCATGGTTTGTTTTTGTTTTTCTCATTGTCCCATCGCACCTGTTAAACTTTGATTTTGTTGATGTCCTGTTAAACTTTGATTTTGTTGATGTTGTTCATGTGTTATGACTTGCTAACTGTATGCACCATATGTTCAAATCAGAGAGATGACTTCTGGAACGAGGCAATTAAGCTTGCTGATCTGCACCATCCCAATGTGGTTGCTTTTTATGGTGTTGTTCATGATGGCCTTGGAGGTTCTGTGGCAACAGTGACAGAGTTCATGGTTAATGGTTCTTTAAGAAATGCTTTGCAGAAAAATGAGAGGTTATTTTGTAGTTCTGTTTTCATGAACCTGTATCTCTCTCCATTTTATTTCACTCCCTGCTTTGAAAGTGAAATTTATTTTATAATTTCTTTTTAGCAGGAACCTTGACAAGCGTAAGCGTCTCTTGATTGCCATGGATGTGGCCTTTGGAATGGGATACTTGCATGGAAAGAATGTAGTGCACTTCGATCTGAAGAGTGACAATTTACTTGTTAATCTTCGAGATCCTCACCGGCCAATATGCAAGGTTAGTGACCCAATCTGGAGGAAGAGGGGCTTTTACCTCCCCTTCGTTCTTACATCAAGTAATGAACTCTCTGAGATGCATATTGATTGTGGGTTTATTTCTGTTGGCATCCTCCTTCTGATGATTTTAGTATTTGGAGAAATCTTCTCCATGCCTAAATGATCTAGAAAATTTGGTTGTCGCATTTAGAGTTTTATCTCACCCTGCTAAGGCAAAATGTGGGTATCTGGCTAAAATAAGTTCTCCTTCCATACTCCAGGCTAAATAATCCAGTCTTTTAGGTGGAACACTTTAGAGCTGTTGCCATAATACTTCTGAATTATGGGGTATTCCATAGAATGGTTTAGGGGTGAATATGGCATTGAGGTTATGGGAGTGTTTTCAAATGGATTCACGTCAGATTTGACTTACAAATGACATTATTACAGTACTTAATAGCCATGTGAAAAGAGAGGTAATGTTATCATCTCATTAGTATTTGATGCTGATATATATTTTCAAGTGCGTGCTGAATGCTGATATCTTGTCAACAGAATGTGACGCTGATATTCTCTTAAGCGAGATGTGAATGAAATGTCTATGTAGTTTATATGAGCTCTCTTTTGTCCAGTTGTTATCATAACTTGAGTGGATAAGTGGATTTTATTTCCCCAGTCTGTATCTTGTTACCCCACAATCCACATGGTGTTGATCAAATTTGTGAATTGGGAAATAGTACTTGCCCTTTTTTTCCATCCTTATCAGTTTTCTTTTGATCTGTTTAGTTTTCTAATTTAATCTTTTAACTATTAGTTATGGTAGATATGATTATTGTATCTATTGTTAGTCCTGAATTCCAGAAGCCTCTGCTTTTGTCATTGATAGAAGTTATCACAGACTCAAATGCTTATAAAACCATATCTGAAGAGGAAATTTGCATTTGCCTTTGGGAATAGAATTCCATTTCCAAATGCTCACTTGTAGTTTACTAAATTTTGAGCCTCCATGTATGACAATCAGTAAAAACTTTTGATTTCAAATTTAAGTTCTATGATTGCATTGATGCTTATAATCTGCAAGTCCCTGCATGTAATGTTGAACTTGAGAATTCTGTATTTTGTTTTCAATAGCAAATTTATTGAATTGGCTTTTCACTCACTTCTGCTTCTGCACCAGGTTGGTGATTTGGGCCTGTCTAAGGTGAAATGCCAAACGCTTATCTCAGGTGGTGTTCGGGGAACGCTTCCATGGATGGCACCGGAGCTTCTGAATGGAAGCAGTAGTCTTGTCTCTGAGAAGGTGCTTCCATTTGTTGTTTGATACCATCTTGCATATAAATAGTCTCTCTTTTTCCTCACTAGATGAGCTTGCGCTTCAATTCTCTTCTTTAATATAGGTCGACGTGTTCTCATTTGGTATCGTGTTGTGGGAACTTTTAACTGGGGAAGAACCATACTCCGACTTGCACTACGGGGCTATTATAGGTGAGGTTTTAGTTGTACCAAAAATAGTCATGTGGCATTTACTTAAATAGGCTCAAGTATGTGTTTCACTGATTATTGCCCCGTCAAAATGCTAATCAGGTGGTATTGTGAGCAATACCTTGCGGCCACCAGTGCCAGAGACTTGTGACCCAGAGTGGAGATCATTGATGGAGAGATGCTGGTCTTCTGAGCCATCAGACAGACCAAACTTCACTGAAATTGCAAATGATTTGCGTGCAATGGTAGCAAAGATTCCTCCCAGAGGGCAAAACCCATCACAGCAGCCCCCTTCAACACAGTACCAGGTTCAAAAATGATTTCACGCTAGCTGTTGTGTCGTGTCTCTCCTTCGTGTCCTGTGGAATGTGTTACTTCCTCAGTTGTTGAAAGACATGTATTTTACTTGAATGTAGCACAGGCAAGGTCTTTCTTTCTTTTTGGAATCACGGTTTTTAGAATTTGTCCAGTTAGTTTTTATGTTTTCTTTTTTTAAAAATTTTTTTTTTGTTTATTATTAACATTTTATAGCGGTTTTGATTCAAGTGAGGTGCAATTTATTTGTACTTTTGTAATGCCTTTCTTTTTTTCGTTTTCCCACCCACCATCACAAGAATGCAGGCAGGATTTTCTGCGGCATGTCTTTCACTGATCTTGATGCATGCGTTCTTTCTTTCAATAATGCAAATATCATTTCCCAGAAATCTTACCAGTCAGTCTAGAATGACTTGTTATTTCTGTGGCGTAAGCAAACACCAGCTTTTTAATCAACACAAATCTTTTAACTAGGGGCATGAAACAAAGTGTATGGAGAGTTGAAGTATCAGCTGAGGTATATGGTTGGACCTTGATACGTCTATTTTGTACATCAAGCTTTCAATAGCATCTTCCTGAAACTTTAGAATCTCCCAATTGAAGGGAAAAAAGTTTTCAGTGGCCTTTAGCGGAAAAAATTGCAGTGATGGCACTGAAATATGATGTAACAACACAGACATCCAGGGTAGCCGTATCATAGATTCGTAGTAGAGAATCCGTGGATTCTTGTATGAAAAAGGTTTGCTGCCTACGACGCACCATTCGACTGAAGGAATTATATGTGCCTACTGCAAATATAAGGAGGCTTGGTTCTTTTTTTGGCAGATTTGGACGAACCTTGAGAACTTATTCTTCATGGATATGATGATGATCGGTGCCTTTTTCCGCTATTATTCACCTAAATAAAATTATCCTCGTATTGATGTTCTTTCGAGCAATTATTCAGTATATTCGAAATTGTAATCTTGAAGAAGGTGATTCAACGCTCTGATAGGTCCTCTATTTTTATGAGAATCAAAGGCATTGTTTTTATAATAATCAAAAGCATTATTTCGAATATTTCCAATCATCCTCTTTGGTAAATAAATGTTACCATGTAGAAACATTTGGAATGTGAGGGACTAGAAAAGGAAGACAAGTTTTGTGGCTGTGTTTCTTGATTGTTGCATGGAAGTTCTGTGTTGCCATCGTTTAGCAAGCGTGTGGCCATCTCGTTTAAGAAACCGTGTTTCGCTAATAGCAGCTTGTAGCCGCCATTATAGTACTAGGTCACTCACAAAAGCACCAATCATAGAGAGCCATGTATGCTTAGTCAAATGTCATTTTCCCAACAAGCATCGTATTCCTGTTGGCTTTTCCATTTAGAAAAATCATCAGCTTAAATTCTCCATTTCCTTGACACTTCCTTGCCCATTTCCCTTCAACTTCCTTCCATGGCTTCGCCGTATTAAGACCCTCTTCTTCCCAATCCAGACTCCCCGTCCGTTTTATTCTTCGTCTCTCTCTCTCTCTCTCTCTCTCACACGCACATACACACATGGCCAAACCGCATGTAACTTTCATGAGCCCCATCGGTTCACCAAGAATGTCACATGGACAACAAGGATACGATCGCCTTGATGATTATGAACAGGAGGCCTATTCAGCTAATGGTTGCTGTTGTTTTCGACTCTTCAATTTCAACTCGCGGCGAAACAATGAACGTGAATATGATGTTTTGAACCAGAATGGTGACTCTAGAGATCCATGGTTGGTGAGGAAACTGCAGAAAGTGAAGGAGGCTTCAGAGGTTTTGGCAGGGCCAAAGTGGAAGACATTCATTAGAAAGATCAGCGCATATATCAAGAAGAAGAAACAAAGGAATAATCAGTTTCAATATGATGCTGAAAGCTATGCTCTTAACTTTGATAGGGAAGAGGATGATTGTTTGATTCCTGGTTTCTCATCAAGGTTTGCTGCTGCTTCTTCTGAAGATCAAGAGACTCGTCGAAACGGGTTGTGAAGGAATATATACAGGTTGTTTTGATTCTTGGATTATTTAATGATTGGCATGGCGCTGGCATCTCTGTATAGCCTTTTGTTTTCTAGCATGTGTTTGTTGTTCATTTTCACTGCCCACAACGTAATTGGTTTCCTTCAAATTCTCCATTTTTCCATTTCATTACCATTAATCCTATTTTCATCACTACTAATTTCTATGATTATTTGATTGTGGGCGTGCTTTTGTTTTGTATTCAACAAACTGGACGATGATCTGGTTTGCAGTCATTTTGGAAACTACAGTCAAAGATAAGACTAAAGACTACAAAATTTTAAATCAAAATAAAATATGATGTGGCTGGATTGCTAAGAAATGAAAGGGAGAAAAAGGATGTTCTGAACCAATCAAACTAGATATTCCAGCAGACCTTCTAGAACAGATTGTCAGCTTAATCTATTTCTTTGTTTTTATCAAAACAATATTGGTATTTTTTTTTAATAAAAAACAAAATATGAATATCTAGTTTGATTAAAAAAATCATGTTCGAAATGAAACTGAACTAAGAACAGGTTTAAATCACCTGATTGATCTACCATGTCAGACCAAGTTTTTTAACTATTCTTAAAATAATCAGCATGCAATGAATTTGGAGGAAGAATTAAATATATCAAGAAATAGATTAATTTGGCCTGTTCACTTTGCCTTTCTACCAAACACAAAAAAAGATACCCGTCTTCCTGTTTCACCTCACTTTCTTCACAGCTACGCTTCTCACCCCCGTCCATATTTCCTACCAACTAGGAAGTAGCTAGCGAGCTCTATTGACATAAGGGGTTACCATTTCCAAATTATAGGCCAAGTTAGAGCAGGGGCTTGCTTTCAATTGTTCTAAGCTCGAAAACCCTAATAGATTTTCGTTTCTTTCTTTCAAAATTCTTTGTTCTTCCTTGAGCAATTGGTCTATCTCATTCATTTACGATCCCCCTTATTCCTTGAGCTACAGCAACAATCCTCGTCTACCTTGGGTGAATATTCCAGGCCAACTTTTCCACCCCGTTTTCACAAAGAGTGTTATGGTTTTCTTACAGTCACCATGCTCTTAACCATTGGAAGAAATCCTTCCTGGTCGAGTTCTATACAGACTATCCACATTACGTAGGAGCACGTTGTGAGAAATCCCTCTTGCACGACGGGCTTTACTCGCTAGATGTTCGGGTTTCAACGATCAAACAGCAACCCTTGCATGTTTATTAAGGGAAAAGCTGTGATTGAATGGTTTGGAATGTGTACACTGAAAAGGATATAATTACATTACCTTATCACAAATATTGAACATAAACCAATAATTGCAAAATTACAGGCCCCTGGCACAGAAGGAAGCTATCCAAACTGACACTTCCAATCTCATATGTTTATAAACTAGGACATCTATTGTAGCAGTATGCCATCATAGCACACTTCTCAACTGGAAAATGAGTTTAGCCCATCTCTACATATTGAATAGCACCCACTTTCAAAGAAAAAGACGAGCTTTCCAGTATGAGCATATCCAAACGGAAATATCTACCCGTAATTCTTGTTGATTCCAATGGCCCCATACGTGTTCTGATGCTCTTCCCAGGTATGTACACGAAGGCAACAATAGCAGTCTACCTTCAAGTTTTTCCATTTATATGAAATGCTTTATGTTCTTGAAGAAGCCAACGTTCACAGAGAACCATATAATAGTTAGCTTACTTCTTTCGTTTGCTCTTCGAGGTAGATCCTGAAGGGCTGCTGTGCCAGTTCCTTTTCCTTTGGTTTATGAACCAATTATTTATCTGCTTTAACTGCAACCCAGTTTCCTGCACCAATCTTGCTTTGTCTTCCTCCTGAAAAGTAATTTGGAGTAAACAGTTTGAGGATCTGGCAACAAAATATTAACAGCATATGGTTAGGAAATCATCTCATGCTTACAGATGGGTACGGCCACTTGGAATGTGTTTGCCACCATGCTTTTAAGTGGGAAGTCGTATCACCTGGCAGTTTCCCTGCTCTTCTCTTACGTAAAATTTCCTCTCTAATGTCCACAATTTTCTCTTTGTAATCCTAAACAGAATAAAGCTGCTTAGCTCACCATTTTCACCTAGTAATTTACCATAGAATTTTATGCATCATTACCTGTTTGAACTCGTGCTTCAATTCTTGCCTTACACGCTCCATCAAGGACCTCTCAGTTTCAGTGGGGACTAGAGGACCAAATCCCATGGCATCCAACCCATCAAGGTTTCCATCATTAAAGTTGGTATCACTTTCTGCTTGGTCATCTTCGTCATCAGACATAGTTGCACCAGTGCCTTCCCCAGGAGATACGCCTGTCATGCACCGTGGTTTAGTTCTAAGCTTAGGCAGCCATTCCAATCTTAACTAGGGTAAATGCAGAATATCATCGAAATAGAAGGAAGAGCCAAGTGAGCCCTTTGAATGAAATGGTACGAATGATTGGTCATTCTCTTTACATAGGCACCACTAATACTGCACATTTCTAAACTAATGCCATAAGTAGCCATGAAAGCATAACTAAAACCAAAAATGAACATGATGATTTAGGCAATAAACAAACTTTAATTTTAATGAAATGTTATATGTAGCATTTTAGTTGCAGCAATGATGCAGTTGTAACTATGTAGCAGTTCAATTGCAGCAATTATGTAAGAAACTAAATGGATTTTTCCCTTGTTCTCTGTTTTAGATTTAGACAGTTACAGTGGGGATACAGAAAGGGAGGTAGGCTGTCCCCATGGTTAAACCCTCGGGCTCTCTAAGCAGGTAAGGCACAGCTGGCTCAGGGATTGGCTAACATTGGCCATGGTCTAACTTTGATTTCTTATTGATGAAAGTGTTTAACTCCAACATTAAAAACAAACGAGTAAAATGTACTCTCAATATAGAACAAGATGAATATATTTGGGTATTCAGAAATCAATCATCCAAATTTATCTTCGCAAAGGAAAAGGTTAAACAGCATGGATCAAGTATCGTAACAATGACACAGAAGTAAGACAACTTTATGTGGCACAAAAAACAGCACAGATTGTGGATCTGCAAGATGAACGAACAAAAGATAAAACAGCAAGAAGGAAGCAGCTTGATTACCGAACATGCAAAGAATTACTAACAAATCATTTCACTTTCCACTACGTTGACCAGCAATCCCTATGTTTTATGTTTTCTTTTCCTTTTGATAGAAGGGCTAAATACCAGTCAAACTTTGTAGAGATTGTTCAAGTTCCCAGCAAGCCATTACTGCCTCCATAGCATGAACACGGACATGTTGCTGCAATTGGTCTTTGAAGGAACAGAGAAGTAGCGCGTAATGTGTCTGCATCACAAGGTACAAATAAAAAGAAGGGCACAAAAGGAGATTCAGATGGAAGAAAACAAAACTGACAACACATATGATAGAAGGAATGAAAAAGGAAAACGAAAATGACATAATTGATAACATCATGAACGTAAATATTTAAACATTAATAAAACTGTCTTATTAATTATCAGATAGCAGCAAATGCACACTTGTAATTCACATGCATATATGCCCATGCAGAAACCAAATAGCCACGCTGAAAGTTTTCATATAAGCCTTATTTAATACACATCAGTAAAGAACAGCTAAGTGAAAAACTTTTATCAATTGTGAATCACCTATATCATCACATGACCCCTTCAGAAAATACTAAATTCAATCTAAAATATTCTTGATTTTCTATTTTTCTTAAATATTTTAGCTATGAATCACCATCATAAGCTTCTTCAAAGAGAGTATTTTATGGGAAATAATGCATTCCCAAGCCGATTGAGCTGCCATCACTGAGTTTTCTCATTCATCCCCACGAACTTCTTAAATGAGTTATATCGTAAAGAAGAAATCAATGCCAAAGCAATCCAAAATCCAAGTTTTCTGGAAATTACATATTACTTGACGATAAGAATTATTCAGTAATCTATCATGAACAGCTGGTTTTGTAACATAAGTTTGTAACTTCAATTGTTATCTCCAACCTTATTGCCTAAATGTCTCCTTATTATAAGAGCATCCATTATTATTATTTTATTTTATTTTTTTAAGAAAAGATAAATCATGTCAATCACTCTATCTATCAAGAGATCAATCTCCAGTTAAAAATTTATTCGAATCTAAAATAGTCTTGAATCCCTATCTCTCTTAAGTATTTTAGCGCCGAAAATCATCAAAGCTTTTTTAATAAGAATTTTTTATGGTACATAAATCCATTATCAAGTTGACTGAGCAATAATCAGCAGTTATATTGTTCAATATCCTCATGAACTTCTTTAATGTTTCATGTGGTAAAGAAGAAATCAATGCCAAAGCAATCCAAAATTTCTGGGAGTTTCTCATTACTTGACAAAATGAATTTTTTCATAATCCATGATGATCAACTAGTTTTGTAATTCGTAATGTGACTTGATATTCCCAGCCTTATTGCTGTATGTCAACTCACTCTATCTATCAAGACACTTATCTCAACTTGTCGCCTTAGTGGAGCTCAAGCAATTGTCAGTAAGCATTTAGCAACATAGCAGAATCATATACTAAAGGAAAAAGGTTGTTTCGTACATGAACAGGCAATGAAATTGACGGATCAAAATCAATGCATGTAATTTGGAGAACAATAAGATAGACACTTGGCCAGAAACTTTCTTCATGTCAGAACAAATTCCATAACGCAAGGAGGATTAATCCCTGTGAACGAGTGGATAAGTGATACAAAACCATCACCAAAGAGATTCTCCAAAGCACTAGTTTCAATTATTTTCATGTGCTTCCAAAACAACATAATTGGTTCCTCCACTGATGCAAAAACAGTTATAAACCAGTACATGATTCACATCAAAAGTACCATTTATCCACTTAGAACCTGTTCACTTTCACATATATCAAAAGGGTTTCTTCTTAACTCACTCTCCCAAATGGACAAAATAAGGTACAGGCAAAAGGGAAGAGAAGGAAGTTTCGGTGT